GAAAAAATGTACATCAATCGGAATGCTGAGCTATGGGCAAAGTTTTTGACCTCCAGCTTACTCGAACTCGCACCTCTCTCTGACCGGGCGAGTGCGCTACCCGTTACTCCTTTGATCTAAACTTCAGAGGCGAAGACAGTTCGAAGAGGGGGGCGGGCGAATTTGAGCAACCTGGAGGCAGGGGAGGAAGTAGCAGGCGGTATCGCAAGTGTTCCACCTGTTTGATGAGAGGGTGCAGACAAGCAGACATGACGTGGCATAATCGCGCCGCCTGGCACCCCCGAATTTCCTTTCGACCCTTCTGTTTCTTGATGCAGCACAGTATCAAAATAAAATAGTAATATTTATTACTTATAACGTAATACTCCATGAGACATCCGTATAGCACGCGCGTTAACAGAACAATGCAGAATTATGAACAAAGTGGAAAAATAATAAAAAAAAGAAATGAAGAGATGGCCCAAAGCCACATGACCAGAAGCACATTCAGGCAACAAGTAGCAGGCGACCAGGAAATCGCCCGGTCTCGAAGAATTTGCAAAGATTAATCTATCAATAAACACCACGATCAAATCAAAATTTTCTGGATGACGTCAATACATTACAATTGCTGGAAAACAAATAAACGAACAATTTTAAATGCTAAGGCACAATAATATGAAGCACACTTCTGTACACACAAGGCACATTGTGAATAATATCTACGGTACATAGTACTCCTAAAGAATTATGTCAAAGGCTGTGGTCGGTTTGAGGGTGTGGGTGGGCATTCCACAGTTAAGCATCATTGAGAGATGTGGGCGGAGTCAGTGGAACCGCCTCTCTATTAGACAAGTAGGCTGTGTGTGGTTCCCGAGGCTTACCTTACGCCCTCAGCCGTCACCACTGCCTTTAACGAGAAGTTCCACGCTGGCCATATGGGCGGAGTCTCTTGGAACCGCAACGCTTCCTCCCTAGTGCACCCTTACCTTTTTCATCTTGGAAGGTGAGACAGGCGAATGACTTCCCCCACGAGATCAGCGTGAAATGCGCATTCAAGCTTGGGCAAAAAGAATAAATCGATGAATCGATTCCAGAAAATCTTTACAAAGGTCTACACCATGCAAAAGAGATACCAAGCCGTTATAGCCAATGCTATGAAAACGCGTCTAATAATCTCATAAGAAAGGAGCATCAACAAGCCGTTATAAGGACCGTAAGGCAGTTTAGCAAACACAGGAATTCCCAAATATTAAGTACATAAATTAAAGCCTCGTCCATAGCAGATCTCTACACCTATGAAAGAAAATGTCAATAACAATTAAGAACACACGCATTTTAATCATAAATAGCATATAATTATGTATGTTAGTATTATGGCTGATATCTTTGGATAAAATCTTATTAATAATAATTATTATTATTAGAATACCAGACAACAGTGAGACTCGTCGTGAAATTTGACGCTGTGAAAAGATCAAGCATGCCGTTTAGAACTACTATTTTTGGCTCAATTGTGGACCGGAAGCCCATCAATATAAAATCAATATAAGTCGACCAATCGATCGGCTATTCGGATGAACAGATACTGTTCTGTAGCTGAGCGAAGATGTTCTTCGTATGGGCGATGAACACATTATCGGGTGAACACTGATTCAGTAATTGGCCAGTTGTTGTCACTACCTGAAAAGCACTGATGATGAGAGAAAATTTAATATTGCAAAAACTCAATTACATCGTTCATGTAAGTTCGGTTTTTTTTAGGTTCTTCTTCACGGTGCTCACGATGAGAGACGAGGACGGCCAGCGAATGAAGTTAGTCCGTGCCTTGGGCATGTTTAACTGTATACGGAGTTTTGAAGCTGTTATTGTTTGATAACTGCTGTTTAACGCCGCAGTGCGCGATCCGAAAGCTATCACAAGAATGCTGAGTTGTGGGCAAAAGTCGGACGGACGGGATTCGAACCCTCAACTACCACTCGAACATTTCCGGGCGGCTGCGTTCCCTATTACGCTACCGAGGCCACTCTTGCCTCAACGGCTATTTGTGCCAGTGCCTCTTTTGTATACGGAGTGTGAGTGGGAGAACTGTATAGTATACGGAGTGTGAGGGGGAGAGGGGATAGACAACTAGGACTAAATAATTTAACCGCGTCGATTTTCTGTTTTTCCATACGCTCTCTCGTCTGCATGACTTTCTGTGATTACTGTCACCTGCCACATGATAAGTGGTTCAGGCACCCCGGAATCTACTCTCCTTCGAAAATCCCATCCCCGCCAAGCCACTTCTTTTTGCACATTTGTTGCTTCAACAGCCGTTGTCCTTTAGCTGCCTGCACGGAGGGTTTCGGCACACGACCGTACATAAAAGTTCGAGCTAACCCGAAGGGATTGTTGTCTCGATGGGACAATCAGGGCGTTGTGGCGGTGCGCTGCCTAATAGCGTGATTTCGCTGCACAATGTTTGAAGATAATAGCGCATCCCGATAATAAAAGGGGTTTAAGCATGTGTTGCCAGAGGTGATTCATGTTGTGGGTTTTGACAAAGCAGGGACGAGGGACAGCAATGTGCTTTCGCATTTTGTGGGACTGAATCTCACTCAAAATGCGACACAGCTTTTCACTCCCATAAGACCAGCTATTCGTTCCTAGACCATGAAAGGTATAACTGGAGCACCATCTAGCTTCCAGTCAGTCGAGTCAGACAGTGAACCTTTCGGATTAGAGATGTTGAACCCACATGCTGCCTTTATATATGGAGGGCGCATGAAAGATAATTATCACGTCTCACATGCTTTTGCCTTTGACGGTTTGAGCGACTTATCGAGATCTACGTAGAAGTTTACCTATAAGAAGGACAACCAGCTCACCGCTTTCATCATCTCCTTGAATTTCTGCAGTTCATGACCTTTGGCCAACAGCGCTGCTTCGAGTTCTGTTGAACGCACGGCATGTAACCGACAGGACGTACAGTACTTCGACGGTCCCTCATTCGCTTGACTAGATGGTGGAGAATGCATGGATTCGTTATGGGGAGAAGCGGCAGCTTCTTCGGTGTGACTAGGCGATGTCTCAGCAAAGGTCGTCGAGGATGTCTCTTGAGGGCTGAAAGATGACTTGTGCAGTCAAATTTGTCTCAGAAGCTAGTCAATGTACTCCTTACCTCGATGAACAAGAGGAGTTAGTCGCAGTCGATAAAATGTTGACATGTACATCTTCAGGATCAGTTTTATGGGGTTCACCGGCGTTAGCAAGGGAAGTTTCGCCTAAATTGTTACGATAAGATATTCATGGGCTATAGGAACAAGTTGAAGCTCTATAACTTACCTCATCGGCAACGGCCGACGCGTTGTTGTTCTGGATATGGCACACGTACATGTGAACGGCGAATGCTGGCTGATTTGGGAACGCACGACTGCAGAGCGCGCAGAACAGTGATGGCATCATCGGCGTTGGGGCCGGCGGTGGCGGCGGTGGCGGTGCGACAGCTGGCTGCTGTGGCAGCTGAGCGGTTTGATGCCGAGCGAACAACGCAGCAAGCGCTCGCTGCTGTTGCTGAGCAATCAACGATTGTGCCATCTGAAATGACGAAAGCTTGATTTATGTTGGTCATAAGTAAAAGGCCGCAATCACCTACCTTAGCCACGTTTTCTTGATTGAAATTGAGAAGTGGTTGAGAAATCAGTGGGAACACCGGTGATGGCTGCTCAATTTTCATCGGAGGTGTAGCCGAACCAGGAGCACTGAAAAGTAGATTTGAGAACTTCATGACCAATCAAGGCGCATAGGGGTACTAAAGAGCTGGTTGGTTGGCCATGTGCTGCCTCAATTTCCCTTGAAGGCCGTTGGCACGATAAATCCCCCGACATCCCCTAACATTTCAGGCTAAGGTAAGTAGGAACCATCGTGCCAATTGCCTTCAAAGGCACAATCGGCACCGGTCGGAATATGCGGAGATACTTGTACAATTGCATTTCCCTCTTGAGGCGGCTTTTTCTTGCCATCTTATAAGGAAACCAGTGGGAAGAGCGCGATTACTCAAGCGACTCCGCCCATACAATCAGTGCGGTATGTGCCTTCAACACTCAAGTTAGTGCTTGCGAAATTTTTTTGTGATTAGTTATTTATTTTAGGTGGGCGAATTCATATCTAGCATTCAGACAACCCACCCAAACTAACGAAGAACCATAAATTTCTGTCCATCCCTAGGTGGGAAATCCTTTGAGTACCAACGTTCTCCGACGACTTGCCCCAAAGTACCTTATCCATTTGGCACGTAAAATATCATGCATTTACAAGCGCAGTTCAGCATAGGGTTCTTCTGAATCACATTACGTTGTCACTGAGATTTGAGCCGCACACCCCTCCCGTTTTGAATCCGAGGCGTGCCTCTAACTTTATTTAATTTCAACCCAATACCTCCTATTATCTGAACGTTTAACGTGTGAAAAGTGTAGCATTCCCTTCCTCTCTAGTCACAAAGTATTCTGGACCCCCCGTCTCAGTGAATGGCTCTCATTTGGGGCGATTAAACTGCCACATGGGATTGCACTCTGAGGGCAGCTATAAATTCTTGTAATTTTTTATCACACTGGGCTCATAAAAAGTGGACAACTGTGGCATGTGCTAGGGCACTTGTGGGGATTAAAGAGTGCAGAATTTATTTGCAACGCCACAGTGAGCAAAAGCGAAAAATCGATAAGAAACCAAACCTTTTTGTCTTCATTTGAGGGCATGTTCATCGAGTGATTGTTGGCGTGTGAATGAACGACCACATTGTCGGCACGAATAGCCACGTTCGGCATGAATCTTCATGTGTCGGTTGAGATCAAACTAAAGCCATTCGTAGATTTTCATTGGAAAAGTTGCAGGATAGAAACAAAACTCATATTCAAGACAGATTCGGGTTAATCTTCTTTTGCCTAAAAGCAGTTATGATACGGTACACTGTATATGATTGCCGCACCATCGTCACTTATTCTGGAGGCTCAAAGGCGGGACAATCTTCGCGTTGCACTAGACAGCTTCGACAGGAAGGAGTCCTACGAAGCTATCGAGCGCGTGGTCTGACTTCCAATGTAGCTCCGGTTGGGAACTCTACATTGCGGCCTGGAGTCACGCAGACATCATTTGCACAAAGGCGTCACTGATTTGGGTGCTGGTTATGCCCAAAGGCAGCGGGAACCATGGCTGGGGGAGGGCAGTTAGTGCAAACCTCACTGGTTTAAGGGCTGCAGGGGCCGGGGCGTTCGGCGACACCCCAATCAGCCCTTCCACCAATGACGATGGCCGTAACCGCCCGCCCCCAGCCATCCTGCCAACAGCCTCTAACCCCAGCTGAGCGATGCTGATTGGCCGGACCAGTGGGTGTGACTGCATAGTTAAACGTGGCAGTGGCTACGCTAGTGATCAGGTGTTCACGTTTTAGGGCACTTGTTATCAGATTTTGTCAAGTACAAGATGACATTTGTCACAAAAAAAAGACCCCTCGAAAACGCGTCCTACGCCATGTTCAAATGAAGTACAGTCCTCATCATTGCGGACTGTCGGAGGCGGCTGTGCAGCGCGGTCCAAATGGGCGTTCGGCCTCGTTGCTCTACCAATGGCGATCGGGTAAAGATCGATTTAGGAAGGAAACAACCAATGATGGAAACGCCGCAGCTGAGAACCGCTGATTGCGACCCGACAGTTGCGGTGACGTAAAGTGTACGTAGCAGCGCCGTCTCCATTACCGCGGTATGGATTATAAACACCTACGGCTAGGAAAAGGAAACCCGGAGCAAACATCCGGAGTTAGGATCAAATGATCACAATCTTAACCGTCTGGGATCCTCATCTCCAAACAATGTTGCACCCCCGACAGGGAGCCTCGTTTTTATGTCATTCAGAAACTAAATGACAACAGATAGAAAAAACGTCATTCCTCATGTTGTGTTCGTTCACGAAACCCCTGGCCGTGCTCATTGGTCCGTGGTATGGTTACGGTCACTCTGCGATAAGTATAGTTCGAAGGACAGAAGTGTGACGAAATGGCAAGGTTGTGATGACATTGCGCAATACGCCACATTTTGTAATTTAAACATAGCAGGGGCAGAGGTGCCTCGAAAACATATTACATTTGAGTTCCGAAGAGTGACTTGTTTAAATATAGCCCTGGCCAGACAGTAATGGCCAGACAGTGATGCAGTAGAAGGGTACAGTAATAGTCTCAGCAGCAGTTCTCAGTGAATTGAATTTTGAGTGTTCAGGGCGAATTTCATGGTAACAATCTGTTCTTAGCTGACCGCTACAGCTCGGAGTTCAAATTTTTCTATTAGAATGGCATCCAAGAATTTTTTGGTTGGACATTGACAGTTTGCAGAGAGAAGAGAAAGTAGTCGGTAATTACCTTGAAAAATAAACGTCTTTTGGCAGAGGTTGCATTGATGAGGGCGTCCTCCTGAGTGAATCATGAGATGCTGAGTGAGGTGGCCCTTCTGAAACAACAAATTTTGAGTGAGCTCTTACTATGACTCAATGTGAAACATTTCTTTCATTATGTCGGACGTGTCTGTCCAATGAACAGGCGACGCTACGCGACTGTTAGCGTATGGCGTAACAGGTCAGGGAGGTAGTGATATTTGCCTGCTGCAAAACCCATATCATGGAAAGATGGTCTACAATAAAAGCCGTGGACCAAATGCTTAGGCGTGTAGATGGCCGTGAGGCAGCGCGAGCAGAGTGTCGAGGCGGCAGCTGAGCATCAGAGCATCAATCCCCTCCGATCGCGTTCTCATGCACTTTTGACCGGAGAAAGTGGTGCGGTACTGCAGCCGTGGACCCATTCACCTGTCCCTTGACAAGGACCAGGATTCACGAAGGTGAGAGTAACAGTCTGGCTTTAGACATAGAGAAGGCATACGCCCGGAGTTTCATCCAACCCCAGCTCTCTTACGGTGAGCACCCTAGAATACTATCCATTTTATGTCTGGAACGCCACAGAAAAGGGCAGTGATAATCAGAGGGGAGCTACGCGGCGGCGTGACTATGCCAAGTCATGTCTGCTTGTCTGCGTCCTCTTACCGAATAGCAGAGTGACATTTTCACCGTATAGCGAAGTGGCTGCCCGCTAGTGACTCCCTTACCCTAAATAATTTTCAGACCTGATACATACTATATAATGAGGTCGGTCCCGCGCAAAAGCGCTTTTGTGAGACCACTTAGGCAGCACGCGCTGTACAGCACAGCAACGCGCGTTGCTGCGCTGTACATTGAGTCTGACCGCTGTCTAGGCCCTGACTTTCTCATCGAGACGGCTAATTTAGCTGCTTAATCACTGCGCATAGCTAGTATTGTTGCGTATTGTACGTTTCAAGGTATCGTTCACGGAAGTTCTGGGTGCACGCAAGAAAGGAGTAATCAAAACTAAGACGGCCAAGATTGACCTAGACCACTGAATGGCCTTCATTTTTTACGACGCATACTTCACTGGACGGAACAAGGAGGCGAGGAACATACCTGGAAAAATGCCTTATTACAGTGTTTGCAGACATGAGAACGTTCACCAGTGTGCCACATCCAATGCTTCTTCAAAAGCTGGCGTGTTCCGAATTCTTTCCCGCATTGAGTGCACTGAAAATAACAAATTTGCTGGGGCATGAGTCCATGAGCATGTTGTAAAGAAGCAGAGAGTCGCTTCCTGTCCGCGCGTGAATGGGCTTCTAACTCATAAAAACCTCCCGCAGTTTATCTCATTAAGCTGCTGACTCTCTACGTTAGATTTGGGGTTCCCGGAGAGGTTCGTAAAAAGTGCAAATTGCAGATCGTACAACGACAGTTCTTTGCAGGGCGCCTCGTGCTTGAGGACTGATGGAATTGCACTGCAGTCGCAGGAAAGGCCGCATGTGGTTTGTTGAGAGGGCTGCATCATGGCGGGTGGCATCGTTTTTCCTCTCGCACCGACTTTTTTATGAGGGCTCCGAGGTAAAGAGAGGTAGAGATAAAGGCGAGCCTGGTCGGACTTATTTGAAAGGTCGCAGTAGAATAGGTGGTAGAGCGAGGATCTACGTAACAATCAATCTCTTTCAGCGTCATAAGGCGCTCAGGTCCTCAGTCATAACCGACCCAGTGCATAACATGTAAAATACGCTAGGGACCCTGTTCTTCTCGAGTTTCTGCCGGTTTTTCAGCCCAAAGTCGAACTCAATACAATCCTGCAGATCCCATAGTATCCGCTGCTCCTGAGGTATGGTAGGATAAAGTGATGTGGCAGTCAGATTGAATAATCTCAAGGGTAGCGCAGTGGAAATAGAGGCGATGCCGTGACTAATGACGCCCGCTTGCACCCACGCCAACCGGTCCTCATATCTGCTCGGAGTGAAACACTTGTTAGCAGCGCTTAACACCTGGGCACATTTGGCGAACCGAAGTGGGGTCTCTCGTAGGAGATGGCGGTGTTCCCGTGCATGATCGTCAACTTACCGTATGCGGTTGTCCGCCACTGTGGGTCCTCATATGGGTGGAAAGCTCTCGTTTCACAGCGAAAATCGTATGACACACTTCGCATGGGTATTGCGGTTTGTCTCGATGGCAACTCGTGTAGTGAAGATTAAGCTGAAACGATCGATAATCGATTGCGTGGTAGTCATTCGTGAAACTGTTTCACCTACTTGTGGGCGTTCATCGAAACGTGTCGGGCAGAAACGGCACTGATAGCCAGGTTTTAAATCCTCTATTGAATCGATTGATTGATCAAGCATAGTGTCATCCATCGATTGATCCATATGGTCCTCATCGACATCGTGCGACATCATGCCATCCGTCAGATCGGAACTACTCGGGCGAATGCCGATCCACTTCTGACAACTCGTGCTCCTGAAGAAAGCACCATCAGTAGAATTTTCGCAAATTTAAGCGTTTATAATGGTTTTTTATGCTTTGCAGATCAGTTTCGCATTTACCACTTTATGAAATGCTTCATTTCCACGGTAAAACACAGCATCACCAGCGACAGGGCAGGGAGTTGGTTACACCTCACAAAAGTGATGGCTTTCTAAGTACATGACCTAAGTTCAAATGCTAGCAGTTGATTTCAAGTAGGCATGAGCGGGATATCCTTTGCTACATTTTGCAAATTTGCAATTTCTTTCTGGAAGGGTTCAGCAATAGCGTGTCGTTACGCCATACCGCTTGGTAGCAATAGGGTAGGAGGGATGGGACCAGAAATCCTTGGAAGGTCTTCTGATGTAGAAGACGACGTAAGGGTCCCTCGGTTAGCTTTGCAAATTAGACGTATCAAGAATTCCTACAAACAAGTGAATCTAAAAAGTCTGAGCAGTGATGAACTGGTACGTTTTTTGTCTAGTTCTGTCTAGTTCTGGTGGACGACCGAAGCTGTTCTGTGAAGAGCTCACTGAAATGTCTCCAGGAAGAATTTTTGGTGCTAGCAACCCTCGGGGCCATTTGAAGGCACATTTCCGCTACAAATTAAAGCTATAACCTCTAATGTGTCAGATGTTCTCGTCTGCGATTGCGAAGGCTGTGCTACCTCCAAAAAGTGGAAATTTCCAAGAATCCGGGAGCCGAGCAACAAGGTCCAGAGCACCCCTTAGACCCCTGCCAACCCCCTGCTGGCTCCAGGCTATTAGGTAGTAGTATCTCTCAATTCCAAATAGAGAGATTGAGGTGGTGAGGGCTAAGAAAGAGCTGGTATCGTTACGAAAACAGCGAGCGGGTATTCGGACATGCACACCTCCTGACTTGTACGTGTGCACGTACAAGTCGGGGCCACCATAGAGCTTTCGGACGGTTTTCCTGCCTTTTTTCTCCACTAATCACTTATCTAGCACTTTGTCGTTCGTTTTTGAGCTCCATTACCCACGTGGTCGCAAGCTTTGCCTTTGAAGGGGCCTTCGTGGAATGGTACTACCATCATCTGGCCGTCTATAGGATGGCCTTACTCCAGAATGATTGAGTCACTCCAGAGATGCACTTCTTTGCTCTAATAGTCCCAAGCAAAAGTCATAACCTTAGTGCAGTAGTTTTACTTTTGCACAATAAGTCCTTTGAATATTCCTCTGAAGCAATGAGCGCCGATTTTATATTACTTCAATGGATAGCCCAAACAGCATCTGCTTAACGTTGCGGGCTTACTCACTGACTGCTAGAATATCCCACTTCAAAAGAATACGAAGCTCGTGGCATAGAAAACTTAGGAAGTAACTTCTAATTTCAACTTCAACGAACTTCCAATTTCTACCTACACAAAGTATTCTTTTATTCGGATCTATCCCACCTCATCAGAGCGAAACTTGTAGTCCAGCTCGCCCCATCCTCCACTGACATTCTGTGTGGCAAATTGTTAACAAGCACTTGTCTTGGGAGTTTACGCTGTGAGTTCAAACCCGTCAACCCTAGGGACAGACGGGCCGTAATGAACAGCTGAGTTTCTCATCACTCAGCAGACAAAGACAATAAAACTGCGGCGAAGGACGGCAGAAGCTGCGCATCTCCAAGCAAACGCCAACGCTTGAAACTGCGCACTGTCGATTTGTGAGTTAATGCATTTTGCACAGCGAGTGAGGCAGAAGTCAGCAATCCTTAAAGAAGCGCTGCTTCTCGTTGGTTTGAAAAGAACGGTTTCGAGCAATGTTCCAAGCTCTCATTAAAATACAACCAACCAACCATGCCCAGGGGAATACGAGGCTAAGCCTGTTACCGACGTTTCCCTTTACCGATGCTCGACATAAAGCCGGGAGCACGGCCACCAGTACTGACCAGTTACCGAAGTGGACAACCTGTTCTTTAGCAGGTTGGCAGGAAAGTTCTTCGAGAAACTTCAAGCGGTAGGTGTCTTGTATAAAACAAAGCGGATTTTGTGGTCACTTTCTAGAGCATAGTGAAAGCTATAAACACATTGCTGTGTGAGCGCCTGCAGGCAGGGTTTTTCACATTTTTTTTCTGTGCTCAAAAACAGGTAGCAACATTCTTGAGACTTTATCTGATAATCGATGATGAAAGCAGGACCCTCACTGATAACGCTAGCCGGGCGCTGTTTGACTCCCAACAGCGCTGAGGCGCCAATCTCTCTAAGCATGACCTTGGCTGGGATAACTGACCTGCATAAATACGGCAGGGAGCGTCCGAAGGAATTTCGTGGAAAATACGCCCCCCCCCCCTAATTCCCTTCCCCGTTCCCAGGGAGGTCCTCCACAACTAACTACCAGTTCCAATCATTAGAAATAGTAATTGTATAGTACTTTGGCGAAGCCGCCAACTAGGGAACCAACTGTCAAAAAATTTTTTCTTACACCGAATTCGACCTCCTCCCCTCCCCCAGCGACCAAATACAACTCCCCGCTGGGTACCCCCAGCACGACGAGGTCTGATTCCGCAATGCAAATGGGGCGCCATGAAAGCTACTGTGCTGCCGAAACAAGTCGCTTCTCGAATAGCTTATCCTCGGAACTTAATTCCATTCACTCAAAGCTTTAGAAACGTCATGTCACCACGTTGTGAAGAAATATTCGTGTAATTACGTACAAAGCTGCTAAATACACAAGCCTGTTCAGACATGCACGACGCATTACTCATCACGCCAAGTTCAGATACTGCTGACTCACCAGTGCATTGAAATTTTTCTGACTCAGAACTGCACATAAAGTATTCGAGTAACATTTGATCTTGAAAGCGCTGGAACTCTCTGTATGTTGTGACAAAATTGAAAATAGGACGGCTAGGGAAAGGTAGAGGATTTGCTTGCCCAGGTATCGGAATAAGCAGTATCCGACTTATGGTTAGTCGAATGCTGAAGCGTATCCCTAATAAGTGTACCCGCGTTCAGAGTCGGCAAAGTAACGGGAAGGTGAGGTTATGTTCTCAACACATATTTCGGTGATGACTGACTGTTCTCGATTTTTTGCCAGTAGGGAATTTGGCTCCTAGGTCGGTTCCTATTTTTCATCAATTTTTTGCATTTAAAAAGCCTTAATCGTAGCTATAAAAATTCTAAGAGGCTGGGGTTTACAATAACAGCCTGAAACCGATGATCGCCTAGGGGATTACAGTGACGGGGCCCTTTTCCCTGCGTCCATTGGAGGTCAGAGGAGCTGAGCTTCCTTTCTCTGCTCTTTAATCTTTGGAAGTTGCTTAATATTTACAACTTTAATCAAGAGGAGTGAAATCAGCGTAAGGGGGAATAGTTAGACACCTATTACATTTCTGTTCACTTTTCCCGGCTGCATTCGGGAAATCCGTGTCGAAGCAGCGCACACAAGCTAGCTATGCCTAACTAATACTGCAACCCCTCCGCGTCAAACCATTGGTCCTGGTGCTGATGTTGTTAACACCTTAACCTTCGTGGTGCAGCTACATAAATCTCTTCGAATACGCCATTTCGCTCGAATCTTCTTCAACTCGACCCTGCCTATCTGTGCTCTGACCTGTCCGAGCTCGTCGATTAACTCACCTCTACACTGTTTTGTGTCTCTAATTGGGTCGTTTTCTTATGACAGTGCATGTGCAGTTCGAGTTCCTCAAACGTCGCGTAGGAATTCGGACACTCTGTGCAGAGATAGCAGCATTCGCTGGACATCTGCAGATTGAACAATTAATCAAGCAATTAGGCAAACGTTTCCGAACGACTTTGAAAACGATATTTTACTGAGAATGGTCAGAAAAAACTTTAGGTTCACTGTGGAATCAGAGGAAGAGGATAACAAGAAGAATGGAAAAGGATTGGAAGGAATGGAGAAGGAAACAGCTACTTAGGTGGGAGAGGCGCTATACAACGTCGGTGATGGTGGTTAGATGAAAATCGTTGGAAAAAAGCATGCTTCAAATGAATCAGCCCTGCTGCTGGTCACTTATCAATACCACTTAGCGTGCTGCCGTCACCAACACCTTGACAGATGGACAGGCCCTACACAATTGGCAGTGGGCAGCACACTTCCAGCACTAGTATTTGTAACTCTGAGGTGTTGTCTGATCTAATCAAGGAGGGCATTTCGCACTTTCGCTAGATTCTTCTGCTAGTTACTGGAAGAACACGTTTCACCTTGGCAAATCCTGTAATATCTCGTCAAGTGCGAGCTAGGCTCATGCCATTGCATAGTTTCACAAAAGCTCACAAAACTCCACAAACGGCATCGGCAGTGTTCAATGCCCCCACCAGGGTCCTCTTTGAGGTCTCATGGACTTGTAGGACAGAACTTCATCTAACTTCATCTTCACTTCAAAGACAGCAGGGTCGCGGAAGTGACCGTGTGAGCTATCGAAAACTACAATTTCTTCCGCCAATGCCCCCCCCCCGGTCCAATGGTTGACTCAGTGCTTTTTTTTAATCCTCTGGCCTGTTCTGTAGCGATCTTAACGCTTGCCGTCGTCAGTTACTTACCCGATAGCAACTATAGCTCTGTAATGAAAAGTATCGGCATCATGACGGCGATGGAAAGTTAAAAAAAGTTTGCAACTGCAAAAATCACAAAATTCAATATTAGTGGGCGGAGCTTTACACATCAGTCGACAAAAATCCTGCAAAATCAGCTAAAACCACATGAGGCCGCGCCCATGCGGGCAGTGTAGTGTAGGATCTCAGAGAAATGGATTTTTTCATTCTGGAATGACCGTGGATGAGTAACCCGACGTGATCGGCATGAGTGTATGTGTATGAGCAGAGCAGTTGGCAGCCGACGGAAGGCACTTTGAATGAATCAGCCGGTCGGACGTTTCAAGCCCCCACGAGAGCCCCCGGGATAATGTGTTTTTGATTCTGATTCGAGATTACCGGTGCATGAGCCTCTCCGATGCGTTACAG